TGATCACTTTGAGGTGACAGAATTGTAGAGGTTTGGAATGTTACAAAAGCCAAGGGAGTAGTGGGCCCTAATAAGCCCAAGTGGCTCATGGTTCTAGAAGTGTGCCAACAGCCATAGCCAATTAGGTAGGTGTTAGGCCATTCCCATTATTCGTGGACATTTAGACCGTGTAGTCTCTGAGGTTTTTCCTAACACCAGCATCCTGTGAATCTAAATATAATGATTTGTAATCAGGGCTTTATCTTTTTGTAGATGTTTTTGTTGTTAGAGGATAATTGAAAATCACCTTTTTTAAACCCTTTTTCTGGTAACAGGTATTAGAAGTGTTGTAGAGAAGACTTGGTTAACCAAGACTGTTTCACCCTCAGATTTGTAGTGATCAGGACTAAGGTAAAGGAGCTTCTCTAACTGACAGAAGGACTTCAATGTAAAAAGAAATATGTGTATAGGTACTTGCTTTGCTCCTCAGATTTCTGTAACCTTCTAAGGCAGGTTTTTGTTTTGTTTTTAACCTTTTTTGTGTGTCACTTATTCCTTTGGCAGTCTATAGAGTGAATTCTATGACAAAGCTATAAAGGTACTGCTGATATTAACCAGGCTTTTTTCTCCTACATTCATAATTGATGGTAATGCTCAATTTCAATTAGAGGTCAGTGAAAGTGAAGACATATCATTTTCCCCCCCAACTGATTCATAGTCTTCCAGTTTCGTGTTCTAAGATGATTCAGTAACACTGGGTTCTAGGACTCCATTTTAATTTTAGTTTACTTCTGTTGGAAGCCTGTGATAGGATTCCTTGTAATTTTTATTTATTCCTTGGTTTACCTGATGTTCATTCAGAAAATAAATATGTATTGAGTTCATACTTTGGGTACAGAGAGGGGGTGAAAAGGGGAAGGAGAGGGATGCCAGACTGAGTGAATGAATGTCCCTGCCCTTAAGTGTAGCTGCCAATATACTTTTATTTCTAAGAAGCCGAGATAAATTTTATTGACATCCGGTGTGGATGTCTTTTTAGTTTTGCATTGTTCCCTGTACCTCAAAGTTTGGGAAACACTGAGAAAAATCCCCCTCTTGCCTGATTATGAATTGCCTGAAACTGTCACTTAAAACAGATTCTCAGGCCCCTTCCCTGGAGAATGTTTCAGGTGGGCCGTGGGTAAATCTGTCTTTTTAACAAATTTACCAGATGGATTCTTATCAGGCAAAACTTAGTAAAGGTTAGCTAGATAATACTTTAACATGTACATAGAAGGCTATGGACTAGTCATACTGGTAATTAGAGAAGGGATTGTGCTGTTTAACGTGCTGCCTTTGTTTCCACGAAGATTCTTCCCTATAGAAGGACAGCTAAAAGGGCTGACATTATCCAGACAGTTTTCTCTAAGGACAAGGGGACTGATTTTTATTTCACCTGGCCCATGAATATAGAGTATCTGATTTATTAATTTTTTAGAAATAATCATATAACTATTAACTTCTTTAATCTAGGTAACATATCACCTTTGGAAATATAAAACTGTGTGAAGAAGGGATATCTCTCCAAAGGGGTTAGGTTAATTTATCATTGCAAAAAAGCCCATCTGTTAAAGGCACTGGGTAAAGGACTTTGCATTTGTACTTAACTCTTCAGGAGGCATTTGAAGGAATGGTTCAAAAGAACTACCCTATGAGGTACATATTGTGATCCTCCTCTAGAATTGAGCAAACTGAGGCTTAAGGAAGCCAAAGAATGAGCCCAAGGTCACAGAATTGGTGAAAGCCAGAATTGGACTCCATATAGCTCTCATTCCAGTCTATATATATGGTGGCCAAATCTTTAAAAGAATTGGAATTTTGCACCATAATCTCTCATGGTGGTGTGTGTGTGTGTGTGTGTGTGTGTCTGTGTGTGTGTCTGTGTGTGTGTCCGTGCGTGCACATTCATATACCCGTGTGCATTTATGCCCTTCTCGGTGTTTTTTTCCCTCCTTCTGTGTCTACTTCTTGATCCCTCCAGCACTCTTCAAGTGTCAAAACCAAGAAGTTTATTTTTATTTGTTTTTCTTTGTTATATATTTAGATGTTATATATGTTATTAATTTGTAGTTGATAATGCAGATAATAGACATGTATTTCTTTTAAAAGTCACATTGTCATTTTTTTTTGCCTTTTTACTTATGAATTTATGACCCTAGATGACAAAATTCTATCCTACTCAGGATCTTGGTACTCATTGGGGCTAATTATTCAAATAAAAGCAACCCTAAAAAAATACCATAACTTGGGGTTTTTAAGATGACCCGAGCGTGGCAGTGGACAGATTATCAGTCAACAGCTGTTAGTTTAGTCCTTACTGGTTGCCTAAAGCTGCTAAGTACCGTGGAGGGTACACGGAATAGGGTCTCCGGTTACCCTTGCCAAGTTGTGCGAGGGACGGGGAGGCCTCCTTACTCCTCGGTGGGAGCAGAGCTCGCAAGGTGGAAGTGAGCGTGGTGAGCAGAGGGAAAACCAGTCGGCGAGTGGCAGGAGTGCCTTCTGCAGCTGCTGTTTGGTCACAGCAGGTAAACTCGGCCCGCTTCGTGTGTGGGTAGGGATCTGAAAAAAGGGAAGGAAGCCACTTCAGTCCTTCAATATTCTGGCTGGCCATACGGTGGAAAGTGGCCAGGAGAACGGCTCCGCGTCTGCGTCTGGCTGGCTGGTGGAAGGACACTTCTCACTCATTCTCCTGGGTCCGTAGAGCTCTTTGACTCTCTCCATGCTGTGCAGAAACCCCGCAGGGAATTTGTGCAAGGTGTTGGGGCTGCAGGTGAGAGTGGAAGGTGCTGAGTGACTTGGACACAGGGTTATTTCTTGGGGTCACAGAAGATGACGCTGCTCCCGCCGTTCTCCTCCGCCTTCTTCTGCGGCAGGGCATCTGTAGCAACTGTCACATGGTGAAACCAGAGACCTGGAAGGGTCTGTCTAGTTTAAGACCAGTGAAGTCGTTTCCTTTCTACTCTCTTCTTTCTCTGTGTTCATGTTTTGAGGCGACCCCCCCCTTCCAGTTGAGCAGCCGTTGTCTCTGATTCAGTTTCCTTCCTGTGGTTGTTGCTTCCCTGGATGAAATGCCATAACACATCCGACCCTCCTTCGCCTCTTCCCCAGCTTCTCCCCTGCCCGGGCTAGAGACTGAATGATGTGTTTTTCTCACTCTTGTGCATGCCTCATAGCTGGCCATTTGTGAGCCAGCTGTTGTGGGGACAGCAGCTGCAGGGCAAGGAAACTGAATGCCAGGCTCTTTCTTAAGGGGAGAATTTGAGCTGCTCCCTAACTTAGCAGCGGAGGTACCATTGGAGCATCGCACTGGCCCTCCTCGTCAATGGGGCCATGCAGCTGGGACACCAGTAATATGAAACTCAACCAAGCTCTGGTAGTTCTTTATTGAGACGTTTGAATATCACCAGTGTTAAAACAGAGCATGCACACCTTGGATCCTTGCAGCCCTGAGTGCAAGCCGTGAGCAGTGTAGTAAAACCCAGGGGTCCATGCAGCTTTGTTTCAAAGCCTCCTGTTACTATTTTTTAGTAGTGGGAGTTAATGTTCTGTTATACTAATTCAATATATTGTTAAGAGAGTGCACTGTTATTTTCTGTCCAACAACAAACGTCTTAATTATTTGCTTTATGTATCTGAAGAAAATTCTGTTTAAGCACACATGTTACATTATTTGGGATACTTTTAGAATGAATGAAACTTATTTATTGTAAAGCCAATTACAGTTGACTCTTGAATAACATGGGTTTGAACAGTGTGGGTCCCCTTATGCAGAGATTTCTTCCAATAAATACAGGACGGTTCTGTATCTGCTCATGATTTCCTTGACATTTTCTTTTCTCTTGCTTTATTATAAGAATACAGTGTATAATACGTATAACATATAAAATATGCATTAATTGACCTGTTTATGTTGTTGGTAAGTCTTCTGGTCAACAGTAGGCTATGGTAGTTAAGTTTTTGGGGAGTCAAAAAAATTATATGTGGATTTTTGACTGTATGTGGGGGTCAGCACCCCTAACCTCCACATTGTTTAAAACTGAACTATTTCAATCAGTATATTGTATCTTAAGAAGTGTATTTGTTCTCCTGCATCAATGAAGATAAAGTAGGGTGAACTTTAATTGAAAGGTTTGACTCGAGGAAGGCAGAGGAAGTAAAAAATATATTGACAAAAATATATATATACATAAATTTTTTTGGTTGGGTCTTTTGCTAATAAATGTTTAATGTCCTTAGGTGGTTTGAAACCTAGTAGTTCAAATTTGGTCATTTTTGCTTTAAGATATAGTGGTTTCCTAGAATTTTTTTATATTAACTTTCTCAAAGGGTACAAAGGGGGAAGTGAAAGGGAGTTCCTTATGATTTGATTTCCCACTTGGCGTGAAGTTTAAAAAGGATGTTACATGAAGAGCAGGAAGGACACAATCAGCTGCAATCTGATGGTACTTCTCCATAGCATTGTATAGTTGCAGGGAAAAAGACAGTTTAGAAGTTGGCTTTAGGAGTTGAGATAATTGTGTTGGATTGGGGTGTATATATTTTAAAGAGCCAATTATTGTCCTTGGCTGAGCTGTCATTTCAGTGTCCTCAGGGGCTGATTGCTGGCAGTTCTGTTATAGAATAAAGACTACATGTAGATATATTGTGTCTCATCATTTGGATAGATGTTTGATTTCAGATCCAAGCAAATGAGGCCCAAGAGACCCACCTTAAAAGTGATTTAATGTTTTATTTGTAATACACACACATTTAAAGACAAATCAATCCTTAGCCCACTGGAATGCTAATAGGTGAAAGCTGCTTGAAATAGGAATTTATGTTTACATTTAAATATGTGAACTGTAAACTGTCCCATTTCGGACTCTGGAATATGTTTTATGGCTTAATTAACCTTTTTTTCCCCCCTCCTCCTGTAGAACTGGCTAGATCCTGCAAAAGAAATAAAGAGACAACTGCGAAGTGAGTATTTAAAATAATCATACTTCTTTTTTTTTTTTTTTTGTATTTCAAATCTTTAATTAAACTCATTTATCTGAAACATGTTTACACACAGGACAGATAGAGGATTTCAAGTAACTTATGGTAGAGTCCACTGTCCATTTAAAAATATGCTTCTTTCTTCCACAAAAACTCTGTGTTGAAAGGCAAAAAAAAAATTTTCTTTTATACTACATAAAAGCTAGATGCAAACTTCTGATGTATATTTACTTCACTGTCAACTCTGATGCTGAAGCTGGGAGGCAGAGATGTCCATAGTTCGGTTAAATGATGCAAATAATAAGCTTCCATTTCTCTGAGATATAAATTAGAAGCCTTCGCTCACTGTCTATCACAGTAGTACCAGACTTGATTGACTCTCACATCCGATCACTTCTTCTTCTTTCCTTTCCCTTTTTTACTTCCCTCTCCTTGCTGAAGACTTTGGTCACTACCTCCTGTTTTTTGTGTCCTTGTTTTTAGTTTGGGTATCATTTCTGCTATATACAACATTACTGACTTACGTGATGGGAACTGTACGAGACAGAGGCTGCCATCTTCCTGTTTGAGCTGGACCCGGACTCTGCCCCTGTACTGAACATCACGATTCCACTCTCTAGAGTACATTTTATTTTTCTCAAGGAATACATTAAGTCCAACTGCTGAGCACACATCTTGAATCTCAGTAGCTGTAGGATTTTCAACAGCCTTACTTAATGGGGATTCGCCTCCCCTCCGCAATGGTCTTCTTGTTATTTAAATGAGCAGGATAGATACAAATGAACCTGTCCTGATCGGCCTGGGACGGAGCGGCGGCACAAGCCATCCTCACCCAGGCCTGCACAGAGCCCACCCAAGACCTCCCGGGGAACAACCGGCCGGAATTCAGTTCTGAGATTTCGCGGACGACTCTGGCTTCCAGCCAATAATCATACTTCTAAGTTCATCTTTACATCTGTTTCTGTCTTTAATAAAATTCATAGGAATGTAGACTAGAATACTAGTGATAGAGTGCATTTATATCGTAAAGGAAGCTAAGAATACTAACATTATTTTTGTAGAGTCCTGACTTTATTTCATCCATGGCTTAGCGACTCTTCTGGCCAAGAGGTTCTAGACTTCTAGTCCTAGATATTCTGTCACAGTGTCCACCACGAAGAAGGATATCTGACCTTCCCTCTGGGGGAAAGAATGAGGAGCTGCTTTTCTGTAACTTTTGCTGTTGATATAAGTTTTACTCCAGACAACCAGTTACGATGGCTTTGTCTACTTTGTTTTGGAAGTGTGAAATTGGTTTAATTAATAGGCTTGTCTCTGGCTCCAGAGGCATAGATACACTGCTCCTAGACGTCCTGGAGTGCAGACTAGGGCAGAAGAGCCTGGAGAGCCATCTCTTCAGTCCTCTGTGATGGTCATCTTCCCTCCTCCTTTGTTCCACTGTCCAAGGCCGCTCTGTGTGCTCTTTGCATCTGGGTTTCTAGTCCATTCTGCCGCATTTCCCATTTGCTCTCATGGTAGACTCCCGAAGTGACTTGAGCTGTGTCCCCTCACCAGCTACAGCTCCTGCAGTGGTTCTGCCTCTGCAGGTGGCCTTGCCTGTGGCCAGCTTTAGGATATCTGTGCCAGGAAATGTCATCGCCGCAGAAAACCCTCTGCTAGGTTTCTCGATACTTAAGTTACTGTAGGGTGGGTGAATGACCAAAGCAGAAAAAGGAGAGAGCCATGAAGAGCTGAAATTTTTAGACAGGAGAACACAGTTGTCACCAGCCCTTCCAGACTCCCTTCCAGAGCTGTCCAGGGAGAAACCATTGCCCTGAGTGCTGGCCTGCGCAACACCCTTTGTACGGTTGGTTTCATCCCCTACTTGTTTGTTACTCCTGACGTCAGTGCGCTGGAACGAATCTGTACGCTTCCCTTCTGTCACTTACTGTCTACTTTCTGTCTCGTGTTAGGTTCTCTACGGTTGTTTTCTTCATTTCCTTTTCTTTCTCCCTGAGGTCATTCATGTTTGTGGTAGTTTCCTATCATTTCTTCTCTGCTCCCTTTTAAAATTCTGAGCATATACCTTATTTTCCCATTTCTTCTCCTTGTAGACTCTTCTTTTCCTTTTTTAAGAAAATATCTTTGAATAGGATGACCTTCCTGATTCGCCCAGGACAGGGGTTTCTCGGGACGTAGGACTTTTAGTGCTGAAACTCCAGCAATCCCAAGCAGACTGGGATGGTTGGCCACCCTGACTATTATTACCCCTTCTTTCCAGCAGCCCCTCCCCCCTCCAATTCCCCCCTGCATTTATTATCTTGGTGTTTCATCGATTTATGCTTGGTTCATAATGGGAAAAGGGGAAGAAAAGAAAAGGAGTAATTAGACATGCAAGTGTTATGCTGACATTATGGAAGAAACTGTACAGGAGAGCCTTGGAGTGTTTCCTTTGTCTTTTGTACAGTTGTTCTATGCTCTGCAGAGTACGTGAATTCAGAAAGGTACGGATGCTTGGTTCCTTCACTTTGTCTGAAACCAGACCTGCCAAGTGACCCACACCATAGAGAGAACAGGATAACCTCTGAAACGTGATCGATGTTCCATTGACTTGTTTCCTACGGTCTTGTTTTGGTGTTTGATTATGTTTGTGTGTCACTCATTTGAGAGTCATGGAGATTCCTAGTTTTTGGAAGGCAAGACTCTTGCGGGTTATGAATCACAGTCTTGTGTTTTGATTATTTGTGAAGTTTTTTTAGAGTTATTTCAAGACTTTCGCCCTTGTGGTTTGGCAAGAGGAACAACAGTAACAAATAGGATTTGGCTTTTTGGACAACTGGAGCTAGTTCTCTAAATGGAATCCTGTGCTGTCCTGATGGGGAAATTGGCTGAGGAGACGAAGTTTTAGCTATTGCCTTCACCTCTTCCTTTCTGCTCCTGTTAAAATGGACCAAAGAACTGCTAGTTTTATCCTCACCCAGCTACTGCTATACTTTGTTACTTTTCAGTTAATAGGCACTTAGCAAAGGTAAATGTTAATCTTTTTTCAGTTACTTTTGAAAACTGACAGCCTCTTAGTTCCTGTTTAAAATTTGCCTGAAAATCTTCCTCTGATGGACGAGAATGAGACCTGCATGGGATTACTATATAAATGGTCCATAGCTAGATGGACTATTCATATATCGCTAGGAAATTTTGTGGTAATATTTAATTCACAGTTAGCATTATTAGTGCTGAAATGTAAGTGTTCTGTTAGAAACTTATCCCTGCATTCCTATCCAGGCAAGCATTTGCTCATGGTAATACTGGGAAAACAGAAAATAAGGATCCATTAAGAACTGATAATCCTGTGTTGACTTTGCTTCATTATGGTCTAGCAGTCACCTTGAAGAGCTCCTCTTCCCACCCAGCATGTGCTATAGGATGAGGAAGTCTTGCTCTTCAGGAAAGTCCTGTGTCCCGTTATGGTATTTTAAATGTGACGCAGGACAGAAATGCAGGATTGGCTTTATTAGTGGAATAGTGATGTACCGAACCTAAATGCAATACAAGTGCGTGTGCGTTCCCAGTAGCCATTCAACGAGTATTTGTTGACTTTTGAGTGAGAAAAGTGTTAATGTACTGATGGTGAACAAAGAACAAAATGACACGTTGGAAAAGAGACTGGGATTCAGTAAAATTTTCTTCAAGTCCACAAAGTAAAGCAACCACTAGGCCTTCAAATATGGATGGAATGAAATAACATGCACACATTTTTGTTGATATTTGGAAATACTATAAACTTTGACCACAACCCTAAGTTCTGGCCAGTGGAATTATTTGGATTCCTTTAAGAAAATAATACCTGCCCTCTGCCCAGAGTTGTGTTTTTCTTTCTTTTCTTATTTTTAAAGACATCCAAAGCATGACATATCAAACACTAATTAAATGTTAATGTACAGGTAGCAATGTTGTACTTTTTATAATTCGTTTCTGACATGGTTGTTTGCTATATTCATTCTTTGTGGCACAGTACGGCCAAGCACGTTACATATGATGAGTATACTTATACCCACTCCATAAAAACCTGGGAATAATTCTATTGTCTTAAAGTTTTGTGATGTTTTACTCTTCTTTCCCTTCTTTGGGATTTCTTTTAACACTTTCTTCAGATAGCCCATTAATCATTTCTTGAATGGCTATAGTGATCAATTATTACCTCCCTTCTCCCAACAATGTACAAATCTTAAAATACTTTTTTTTTTAAAACAGTAGGGAATATTTGGCATGTAGAGATAATGTGGTTAAAACAAGTCTTAAAACGATTACATGGAAGTTATAGTAGAATTTTTGCATACTAAATCACCGTACAAAACATTTGAAGTATTAGTAAATGTTTGTAAAAAAGTGAATATGGGGTCCCTGGGTGGGGCAGTCTGTTAAGCGTCCAGCTCTTGATTTCAGCTCAGGTCATGATCTCAGGGTCTTGCGATCGAGCCCCACATCGAGCTCCGCACTCAGTGAGGGGTCTCCTGGAGTCTTTCTCTGTCTTGCCCCCTCCCTGCTCACGTGTGCGCTCTCTGTCTCTCAAATAAATAAATCTTTTAAAAACAAAAGTGAATCTGTTCTCTAATAGTTGGGTCATTTATGTAATTTTTATTTTTCATTGTTTTTGTAAATAGTTTTCTTAAAACTAAAAAATGAAATTCTCCAAACTGATTTACAGTGAGACTAGTGTGTACTGTTTGAACATTAACCTTTAATTTTTATCAAAATAAGTAGTCATTCTGTTGGTTGGATAAATACCCATATTTAATAATTACAGATCTTCCTTGGCTGTTCACCTTTAATGTGAAGTTTTATCCTCCTGATCCTTCTCAGTTGACTGAAGATCTCACCAGGTAATTTATACTTATATTTTAAAATACAGCTCTTATATATTTCTGAGCCCTGGGAGAAGAATGGTAATTTCAGGATTAAAACCAAAATATTTTTTCATAAGTTGAGTTCTAGAAGTTTCCTTGGAGATGAGTGTACTTGGAAATACTTGGAAATGTTGCCAGTTTTAAAAATTTTATTCACTTTCCTTTAATTTCTCTATTTACAGTTGAATAATGGAACATTAAAAAAAATATATCGCTGGCACCTTTGTTTCTTATGTTGTTAGACTTTTAAAAATCATTGATATTTAATATTTCAGGTTAATACTAAGATGGTTTTTATTATATCACCCTTGTGTAGCTGTGTACTAGTCTCATATCGATCACAAAAGTGATAGAAGGGTACAAAAAGGAAATTATTTTAAAAAGCCAATTTTGGGGGGTCCCCTACCTCAAAGGGGAAAGAAAACTAATAAGGTAGGCTTTCTTAATAGCTATTTCATTTCCATCTCCTTTGAGATTGTCTGGGCTATACAAACAGATGCTCAAGTTGTAAATAAAAGATTCAGTTGTGGAGCAAGAGAGCATTTACTGATTCTGAGAAGCACTGAGTATTTGAATAGTAACCAAGGAACATTTGAATCCACAAGAGCCTTGACATCTTAGCCCTATTCAGCTTGGTTACCAGCGATAGGACTTACTAGCTTTGCTAAGAATAAGTGCACAGATTACATGGCCAAGGAAAACTGTGTTCAGAATACCCTCTAGAAAACCACAGGGTCTGACTGAAAAAGTCTGCTTTTTTGATTCCTTTGGTTCCTGTGCCCCTGATGCTTTCTGCTAGTTCAGTTTTGTTGTCAGACATCAGGTCCTGTCAGTGCTTAAGAGTGCATGATACCCACGTGAAAGAGGAATAACGGAGATTCCTTTCCAAGACTGGATAAATGACAAGCCTCCCTACCCCCCATTGCTACTTGTTGCTAGATAG